TGCTATTATTAACTTTATTTTCCTTGTGTCCCACTTTTAATGTTTTCTTTCTTTCTTTCTTTCTTTCTTTCTTTCTTTCTTTCTTTATTTATTTATTTTTTTTTTCTTTCTTTCTTTCTTTCTTTAAACTCATATTTTTTAATTATTATTATTATTATTATTATTATTATTAGTATTATTATTATTATTATTATTATTATTATTATTATTATTATTATTATTATTATTATTATTATTATCGTAATGTAGTAATAGTAGTAACAGTTCTTATAGTAATAGTGCTAGTAGTAGTAGTAACAGTAGTAGTAGTAGTAATAATAGTAACAATAGTGGTTCATTACACTTCAATAGCCGTAAAAACCAAACTCGTGAACCACAGTACAGTCGCTTTAGGGTTTTTCCTCCAGTTCCCAGAAAACATTACTTTCTTAGCCTCAATATATTGCATCAGTGCACTAAGCTCCCCCGCGTGCTAGAGTGCGTCTAATCCATTAAGATTCGGTAGAGTGCGTTCGACCCATTAAGGTAGAGTGCGTCTTACCCATTAAGGTAAAGTGCGTATAAGCCATTAAGTTCTGTTAAAGCGCGCATAACCTATTAAATCCTGTTAGATGGCGTCGAAATCATTAATTTGTACAGACTGTCGAAACTTAGACCAGATTCACCAGCGGGCGCCAATAACGCCAGAAAATATGGTAATGTGACCCCATTTTGGCCCCATTTCAATACCCAGGAGCCGTAATGGGCACCAATTTCAGCCCGAGAGGTTATAGCTGGGCAGTCCTACCTCGCCCTCCAGACGGTGTCGAGATGGAGGTCGACCTTAGGTGGAGGCTGAGCTGTGTGTTTTGGGGTGTTTGGTTAGGTTAGGTTAGGTTTGGTTAGGTTAGGTTAGGTTAGGTTAGGTTGTGTTTGGTTATTTAGGGGGAAATGTTGTGTGTAAATATTGACTTAAGAGATACGTTATTAACCTAACCTAACCAAACCAAACCAGCTGAGTCTATTTACCCGGACGTTATACCCGGGTTATATTTCACATATACGAATATTAATCATTTAAGCCCGACAATATATATCCGGGTTAAATTACAGCCCTATCAATAATACCTGTAATATTATAAGCCTGACATTAAATCCGTGTTACATATTAATCCTCCCAATAATAGAGTCAATCTATTAAGCCTATCTTTATATCCGTGTTATACATTAGTGATAGCAATAAAACACTTGATCTGTTTTGCCTCACGACAATCTTTGATCTATCAGCTTAATAAATAATGCATTAATCTATTAAGCTTGATGCTATATCCGTGTTATATTATCAGTTTTAGGAATAATATACTTGAGTAATCTAGTTTATCATTCGTGTTATATTTCTGGGTTATGTAAAAGTCATAGTTCTGTTAATAATGTGGTTTAGGTACATGTTTTTATCCCCGTGTCATGTAATGTGTCATATCCGTGTCGTACCCGTGTCATACCAGTGTCATACCAGTGTCATACTCGTCTCATACCCGTGTCATACCCATGTCATACCACCATAATATGTCTACTGGCATAAATCAGGGTTATCTTAAAAGCAGAGGCCGGTGGCGCAGTATCAAGTTAAAGTAATGGATATATAAGAGCGCTTTTACCGACCATCTACACAAGCTTTACCTCCTTAACGTCACTCAATCACATCAGCCAAGACCGTGTTAACCCACAAAGTGCTCTGGGGAGATGGGTGAAATCTTTACTAAAATATAAGATGGTGTTATTATTATTATTATTATTATTATTATTATTATTATTATTATTATTATTATTATTATTATTATTATTATTATTATTATTATTATTATTATTATTATTATTATTATTATTATTATTATTATTATTATTATTATTATTATTATTATTATTATTATTATTATTATTACTTGTAAATTAAGCTGGGAGCTGTTACCTGGTTATTGACACCTGTCCTGTGTGTGTGTGAGTGTGTGTGTGTGTGTGTGTGTGTGTGTGTGTGTGCAGAGAGCTTATGTTTGCGTTTCCGTGTGTATAGGCATCTGTGTAAACGTGTGTGGCTATGTGTATATGACTTTGTGTATAAAATGTAAACTTATGAACACACACACACATACACACACATTGCTCCCCTTCTCTCTTCATTCATCAACCCTTATTGTTCCTCATACCACCACTATTCTCTCTCTCTCCTTTCAAAGTTACAGAGAAAGACAGATATAGAGAGAAAATGAGAGAGAGAGGGAGAGAGGAGAGAGAGACAGAGAGAGAGAGAGAGAGAGAGAGAGAGAGAGAGAGAGAGAGAGAGAGAGACACACTGCAGTACACACTGGGTCACGCAGCTCATTAATCATTTACTCCTGCAATATTTTCTTAATTTGTTTTGTTTATTTGTTCATTGAAGTTTAAAAATCCGGCTTAGAGAGAGCTGTCTGTCTGTCTGTCTGTCTGTCTTTCTGTCTGTCTGTCTGTCTGTCTGTCTGTCTGTGTATGTCTATCTATCTATCTATTGCTTTGGTCACTGGCCCTTAAAAGCGACTGTCAAGTGTGAATGATGGTGCGTGAGGTAGACTAATTGGGAGAGAGAGAGAGAGAGAGAGAGAGAGAGAGAGAGAGAGAGAGAGATACAGAGAGAGAGAGAGAGAGAGAGACACAGAGAGATAGAGATACAGAGAGAGAGAGAGAGAGAGAGAGAGAGATTGAGAGATTACCTTTGCTTGTTTGTGTGTGTTGCCGGCCGTGCCAACTCACTCATTAGACATCACTGGTGACAACACTTCCCACACTGTCATCATGTTTTCTATTGATGTTTTGAGATTTTGTGTGTGTGTGTGTGTGTGTGTGTGTGTGTGTGTGTGTGTGTGTGTGTGTGTGTGTGTGTGTGTGTGGGGCGTGTGTGTCTGTGTGTGTGTGTGTGTGTGTGTGTGTGTGTGTGTATGTGTGTGTCTGTGTGTGTGTGTGTGTGTGTGTGTGTGTGTGTGTGTGTGTGGGGCGTGTGTGTTCAGGTGTGTGTGTGTGTGTGTGTCTGTGTGTGTGTGTGTATGTGTGTATGTGTGTTTACAGTATACATTCAAACTGATAATCGTGAAGTATATATAAACATTTAAAATCTTATACAAACACGCTTATCATTCATACATACACACCTCATACAACATGCACGCTTATCATACATACATACACACCTCATACAACATACACGCTTATCATACATACATACACACCTCATACAACATGCACGCTTATTATCCAACATACCGTTCCAGTCTCGTCTAACTTTAATAATTAACTAAATTAGTCTTCCACTACGGGTTAGAATTTTATGTTTTATATGTTGACAAATTTTATGTGTGTGTTTAGTCACGGCAGAGAACGTAATAATAATGATAATAATAATAATAATAATAATAATAATAATAATAATAATAATAATAATAATAATAATAATAATAATAATAATAATAATAATAATAATAATAATAATAATAATAATAATAATAATAATAATAATAATAATAAAGCTTACCATCAAACAGAATAAACTAAATAAACGTAAAATATAAGAAAATAATAACAAAAACTCAAAGAAATAAAAAAAAGAAAATGGGATTAAACGAAAATATTGGAAGAAAAATATGAAAATGGGAAAACGAAGTAAACAAAAATCCTTGACCAATCAGGAGGAGCCTTGGGGAGGAAAAATGGCCGACCGATGGAAAACGCCTTGAGAAAAAATTATCCACTGGGAAATTTCTGCTACGTGAGGCTGTTAGAAGATGAAATAAAGTGAACTCCAATGAAAAAAACGAACGAAATAGGATAAAGAAAAGGAAAGAGAACGACGTGGACACAGCATTAAGTGATAAATCAAGAAGGAGAGGCGGGAACAATTCTGGATAGAGGGAGGACTAGCGTAAAAGTTTTTCGTTTTGGTTGGGAGTTTGTGTGAGGGAAGGGGGGAGGGAATTTTTGGGGGGATTGGTTGATGGATAGATGGATGGAGGGCTGGTTGATAGATGGATAGGAGGTTGAGTTGGTCTCTTATCTTCAATATGAGTCGGAGGATAGCTGGATGGATGGATAAATTGATGGATGGTGGGATAGTTGTGTGGGTAGGTACTAGGTTAGGTGATCCAGTACAGGTGTATGTGTATCATGGTCAACAAGGCCTCGGTCCTAATTAACCCCTATTTCTTCAGCCCTAATTTACACTAGGACCTATTAAGACTGTTAGGACGGTGAGGAAAGGAGGAGGGGGGGGGCTATCGGGACTGAATAATATTAGGTGTGGGGTCTAATTGAATAGGGCCTAATAGCACTGAGGGGAGGTTCATTTACAGCAGCAATAAAACACAAGTGCCTATAATCTGTTTGTCTTTTCCCCCCCCCCCTCCCCTCCACAACCACCACCCCATCCCTCCCCATCCCCCCACCCCAACTTGGACATTTTCACGGCTCGATAACCTAACATTGGTGTGAATTTTCCGGGTAATAATAACGTCATTGTGGTGTAGCGGGAATATTTAGCTAGATTTATGGGTTTGAGTTCGTTAGTGGTGCGTGAAAATGACTTCAAACCAACCCTGATGAGTCGACAGTGTAATACGTAGATAATTGTATGTATGTTAGTTAATTCATTTTGTACGTTTGTGTATTTATATTGTTGATGGGATAAAGTATAGATTTGTGTGTGTGTGGGTGTTGATATTTCTACTTGTACTTATGGCACTTTTCTGGCACTTTATTGTTACTTTACTGTCACTTTACCGTCCATTTACTTTAACTTTACTGTTACTTTACTGTCACTTTTCTATCACTTTACTAGGACTTTACTGCCACTTTACCGTCACCTTACCGTCACTTTACTCTCACTTTTCCGTCACTCTAGTCTCTTTACTGTCACTTCTTACATTTATCTGACTAAAGATTTACTTACTACATTGTTGAAGAAGAAGAACTGAAGTAACAACACTCCTTCTCTCCCTTAGGGTCGGCCTTGGTGGAGCGTGTGGAGGGAGTGGTCAATGGAGAGCTCATCCTTCCTTGTGATGTCATCCCGCCCATTGATGATAGAGTAGCAGTTATCCTCTGGTACCGCGACAACCATAGTCTGTACATGAAAGTACCTGTGACCAATGTGTGTGTGTGTGTGTGTGTTACCTCTATGACTCGCCTCCAGGTAAAGATAAATCTCTCAGGTATTATTATACCTCACTGAAGCGTCACCTGACTTAAAGACCTTATTAAGCTGGCTCGACCTCAACAGTATCTTATAGTCATTCAAACATTCATCTTATGAAGGTAGGCCTCAACGTCTCCATGATGACTCTTAGTATACTATGGTGACCTCAACAGTGTCTTATAGTCGACCTCAACAGTGTCTTGTAGTCGACCTCAACAGTGTCTTGTAGTCGACCTCAACAGTGTCTTGTAGTCGACCTCAACAGTGTCTTGTAGTCGACCTCAACAGTGTCTTGTAGTCGACCTCAACAGTGTCTTGTGTGGTCGACTTTAAGTGGATATTTCAAGTCTTAGCACTATTCACTTATCCTTGAGACTGATCCTTGAGTTCAACCTCCAAGTCTTCGCACTATTCACTGATCCTTGAGTTGTACCTTCACGTTAGGTCTCAGAAGCTCGAGGGGTGGTGGGATAAGATTCAGGTCAGGCAGGGATGAAAAGACGTATTTATTCTCATGAAGACTGAAGCTATCTTATCTCTCTCTCTCTCTCTCTCTCTCTCTCTCTCTCTCTCTCTCTCTCTCTCTCTCTCAACGAATCTGACCAATCCCCAGGTTTTTTGCAACTAAGATGACGTGAGGCCACAATAGACTCATTCCACACTCCAGTAGGCTGTACTTACACACTCACACACTCTAATAGACTATCATACACTCACACACTCTAATAGACTATCACACACTCACACACTCTAATAGACTATCACACACTCACACACTCTAATAGACTATCACACACTCACACCAACGTAAAAACACTGAGTAAACTATAAAAAAAATAAATTGGAAAGACACCATTGAATTCTACGGTATATTGGCTGTGTGTTGACAAGGCTTTTGAGCGGTTATAACTCATATACAGGAGACAAGTCCTTAGGTAAAAAGTTAAACAATAAGAGTTTTTAATAACCAACTCTATTTTCTCGGTTCCTGGCAGTTTAGAATCACTATATAACCCGGAAGTCTGATTGTGTGTTGGTAATGGTGTTGAAAGAAATCTGATCGTTGAAAGAAGTCTGATCGTGTGTTGGTAATGGTGTTGAAAGAAATCTGATCGTTGAAAGAAGTCTGATCGTGTGTTGGTAATGGTGTTGAAAGGTTCGTATGTTTCGTATGTTTAATTTGTCCTCGTAATTTGAGATGTGAGGAATAAATGAGAGATTTTGGGTCAAGATGATGATAAACATTGGAAGTGAATACCTTAAAAGTGAGGATCTTGAGGCGGTAGGAGTCACCTTGAGGGCATATAGTTATACTCAAATGATTTCTTGGTTCTTGGTGATCTGTATAGTAGTGAAGATGATGTAGAGAGAGAGAGTATTATATTATGCGTAGGAGGTGAGGCTATCAGTCAGTCGGGTACCTCATGTGTGGATAGTACTGGTGAGGTGTGTGGATAGTACTGGTGAGGTGTGTGGATAGTACTAATCAAATGTGTGGATAGGATAGTAATACTGATCTGGTATATGGATAATCCGACTAATTACTGCAACTACAAAAAAAGAAATATTCTGTAATACTCTCTGAAACACGGGTACAAAAAGGCATTACAAAACCACCACCACTCTTGTAATTATTCCTTCATTATTTCACAATGTAACTCTCTCTACAGATGTCAAAACATCACTAAAAAGCTTATTCCAGCAAAACCAACAAGAACCTTTTTGGGGCGGCCATTTAAAAGTGGTTAATGTAAATACAAACTTGACCGAATGTTAATGGAATTGGAAAACAAAATCCAAAAAAATTTCCATAATAATTATCCGGCCGGGTGATGGTGGTGGTGGTGATGGTGGTGGTGGTGATGGTGACGGTGGTGGTGATGGTGACGGTGGTGGTGGTGGTGTTAGTGATTATATTTATAATGGCATTGGTGATCAAACTTACACCACCACCTGCCAGGCTGAGTCATTAACCCCACCACCTGTCACCACCTGCCACCACCTACAAACACTTATGAACACCTGCCAACACCTGCCAACGTCTATGAACACCTGCCAACACCTATCACCACCTGCCACCACCTGTCAGCACCTGCCAAAACTTGCCAACACCTGCCAACACCTGCCAACGCTTGTCACCACTTGCCAACACCTGTCACCGCCTGCTTACACCTGCCAACACCTGCCAACACCTGCCAACACTTGTCACCACCTACCAACACCTGCCAACACCTATCACCACCTGTCACCGCCTGCCTACACCTGCCAACACCTGCCAACACGTGTCACCACCTGCCAACACCTGCCAACACCTATCACCACCTGTCACCATCTGTCACCACCTGCCATCACCTGCCAACACCTATCACCACCTGTCACCACCTGCCAACACCTGCCACTACCTGCCAACACCTGCCAGACTAAGTCATTAACAACAGCGATATAGATTTATGTTGGAAAAAAATTACATTGTGAGAAAGTTTTAAAATCGAAAGTTTTTTGTTAGAAAGTGAAAGTTGCCCAACGTGAAACGTTTTTTAATCTTGTTTTTTTCTTATGGCTTTGTAGATAAGTTTATTTTATATTGATAACTTTGTCGGATGTTTTGTAGTGAAGTTTATTTCCCAATATGTGAAATATTACCTGGGGTGTAAATTGCAGACATACACGCTAATACATACATACACAAACATATACATACATGCATACGCTTACAGTACACACACACACACCCACACACTACACACACACATTGCCCCCCCCCCCACACACACACACCACATCAACACAGATCTAATCGGTGTGTCGGAGCAGGACATCAACCTAACCTAACCTAACCCAACCTAACACAATATATCCGCGACACAGCCTCGATTCCCTCATCCGTAACCCTGTAATCTTGTCCTCGCTGTCAAGACCAGGACAGAGCACCGTAATAAGAGGTTTATATTCAGACGTAGACAGTGGCGGTGTTTTAGAGAACATGAAGACAAGACTTGACCTGATTATCAAACATCACTATACGGTGTGAAGGAACGTGTATTGTACTCGTATAAATCACTGTTATGGGTGAAATACTTGACAAATGACGAAAATTACCCCCAAAATAACAAAAAATACCGAGAATTTTATATAAAAAAGTCTGGATTTCCATTTATACGTAATAGCAAACTTCCAACAGGTATTATCTAATCACTGAAGAAACGAGTGTTGTATAAATCACAAATATGGGTCTAAAAAAAAAGGAAAATTGCGAAAAATGCTGATAATTCCCTATAATTTACGTCAATAGTTGTGTTTATTGAGGTGGAACTGTTCTCCAGACACTGATAACTCAAAGGTGAGGAATGACTTCACCATAGTACCTGACCGCCTCCTCGTCCAGGTGTTCAGGAAGTAATCTAACTGACCTCCATTGGCTGTGTGTGTGTGTGTGTGTGTGTGTGTGTTTCGAGGTTGTTGTATGTAAAGAAAGGAGAGGAGGAATGGAGAGAAAGAGAGAGAGAGAGAGAGAGAGAGAGAGAGAGAGAGAGTTTTACTACTAATCCACCTATAATACCACCCCATTAATCTATCATAACCTGTATTTACTCTACCGTATAATCTACAGTAATCTACACTCTTAATCTACCAATTTAGAGGTTTCTGTCTTTAATCTATTCATAAACTACCAGCAATCTCCTTCTACCATTATTATTCTCAATCTACCATTACTCTACCCGAATTTACCGGTATTATGAGTGTTCTACCATTACTCTACACGTAGGCTATAATAGTCTACGTGTGTACTATCTACTGCTAATCTACTAATAATATCAAAGTATCTACTCCCCGTGTCGTATTTTTTTTTTACCATTAAGCAACCATATTCTACGCTTATTGTACCCCGGTGTTGGTCGGGTTAAAGCACGATAAAAGTAAGCTTAGTAGTTAGTTCGTGTGTGTTATTGAGGGTTATTCCGCCTCTCTCTCTCTCTCTCTCGCTCTCTCTCTCTCTCTCTCTCTCTCTCTCTCTCAGTTCTATTTTTCTTGGAGAACAGATCAATTGGAAGCAACTTATTGAGGTAGTGAATTTGGTGGCCAAGGAAATGGTGTGTTAGTAGTCAGGAGGCAGTGGTTGGTGGAGATGATCCCGGTTGCTGGGAAGTGGCCCGGTAGGTGGGGGGAGGGAGTAGCTGGGGAGGGGTGGTGAGTGGCCAGGATAAGGAAGTGGCCTGAGGGGAGGGTAAGTGGCCGGGGGAGAGGGAGAAGTGGCCATGGAGGGGGGGGTAAGTGGCTGGGGGGAGAGGGAAGAAGTCGGGAGGGGTGATAAGTGGCCGGGAAGAAAGGGAAATTGACCGAGGGTGGTAAGTGGCAAGGAGGGGTGGTAAGTGGCAGAGGGAAGTGGCAGAGGGTGATATCGAGGCAGCTTGGTGTTGACTAAGAGGGATAATGAAGGTAGAGTAAATAGCACCAAGACGGTAATAACTTCGCCATTTCCCCCTCTTCCCTCTCCGTCCACTCCGCCACCCACTCCTCTATCCACTCCGCTCACTCTTCGACCCACTCCATCACCCACTCTTCCCCCCACTCTTCCCCCCACTCCACCCACTCATTCGTCCACTCTTCCACCCACTCTACCCACTTAATCTCCCACTTCTCCACCCTCTCATCTACCCTCCCTCCTCCACCCACTCCACCACCCCACTCCTACCTCCATCTCCTTCTCCCACCCTCTTATCTACCCTCCTCACTCCTCCACCACTCCACCACCCCTCACCCACTCCATCTCCCACTTCTCCACCCTCTCATCTACCCTCCCCTCCCTCCCACTCCTTGCACTCCCCTAAGAAAAGATATTACATTTTCTCTCTCAGTTTATTAGGTTAGGTTAGGTAGTTAGGGCGGCACTGTACTTGACTGCCTTCATGTCCCCCAAGTGTAA